CGTTACTTGTTTTGTAATGAAAAAAAGTCTGTCTTGGTAATGAACGCGTCAGAACGAATAAAACGCCGGCCGCCTGAAGGCATGTAACTGAAACGTGTTTAATATGATGGTGATCTTCATTTTGGAATTTTCTGTTAGTTGATTAGTTACTAAGAGGAATTAATCAAACAACTTAGGATAAATCTTATGGAACTCTCCTGCCATTCTGTTCATCCCCCAGGGGCGGGAAGTTAGTAATTTGCTTACATAGCCATCTTCATCCGTTTTAAGGGTTGAAAGGTCGGTAGATTCCAAATATTTTTTCAGAATATGCATCTTAAGATGCTTGTCGAAATTATAGTCATTTGTAATAAAAATATTCTGCAAGTTTCGTTGTTGTCACATTGTTGTGTCTGAGATCATACCTGTGTCCATTGAATGTTTTATTTCAGTTTTCCATTGTAAAAACTACATAAATCAAGTCATGTTTGGTACATTGGGCAGTGTCTATTAAATGGGAATCAGTACAATTGCCGCCCTCTGTATATATTGTGGTGTTTCTCTTTGAATTTGTGATAGAATTAACGTGACCTATGTTGTTGCACAATGCACAGGGTTTTTCTCTTCTATGAGTTTTTTCGGAAGTATAAAGATCTGAAACTTCAATTTTTTGAGGATGGACGTTTACATTTGTTAAAATTTGCCTGATGTTTTTTTTTTATTTCTATTTTTGAAAGAAACGATAAGCGGTTTGGGAAAAAATTCTTTAAAACGCGGATATTTTTACGCAATGTGTTCATAGCTGTCATGTAGTATTTTTGAAATTCCTGTAAAATTTCGGTGCCAATTGATGACGAATAGATTCTGTCAGAATTTTGATTGTGTTTTTCAGTTTTTTGATCTGTTATAAAATTATGGTAATTTTGATTCTTAGCTATTTCTTTGGCAATTTGTTTCATGTCGAGATTCTTGATAACCACGCTTAACATAATTCGAAATATTATTAACATACTTCCAATAGTCTTTTATCTCAGCGCAAATTCGACATGCGTAAAAATTGGCACTTCGGGTTTGATTTTATCGTGTGATAAGGATGATCAGAAAGTGTAAGTAAATGTGTGATGACGTTCAGTTGCCAAATAATTCGGTCATAAGACGATTCCTTGAGAATTTTAGTGTCTAAAAATTCAACACTAGCTTTGGAGAAATTATATATAAATTTTATATGTGATCGAAAATTATTCTTTTGTGAAAAAAGTATCATAAAAATGTACAAACTTTAGCAAACTTTCTTGCGTATCCAAGATAAATAAAATATCATCAATAAATCTCAGCCAAATTACTGGTTCAGGGCTGTGCTGTGATTTGAAAGCTCCAAATATTGTTCTTCGAAGTTCATCCTAAAGACATTCGCAAAGTTAACGGCCATGAAGGCCTTTATCCACTGTGCCATATGTTCTTGAGAACATTAGTGAAGGTGTTAGTTAGATCCAGTGACAGGACCCAAAGAGTGTGAGTTCAATACCCGGTTAAGGCAGTGGAGAACTTGGAGAGGGGAATTAACAGGAGATAACTGATAACTGACATCCATTAAACATGGCACGTGGAACTAGAACAGTCTACCCCAGTAAGCGAAATAAACGATTCAGTTCGACATTTCAACCACCTGAAGAAGGCCGGAGCGTACAACGGCTGAAATGTTGTAATAAATACGGCGACAAAGATGAGGACAATAGTCCGAATAATGTAAATAGTGAAAATTGTTTCTGTTTATCAATCAAGATTCGAGGCACAATCTTCGAGGAAATTCTTCTCATTTCAAAATCCTTTGTTAGAATCTGCCTCACTGTTCCCCGTTTATATTCAGGTTTTCTCTAATCAATCGCAGACTTTATCTTCGATCTGAGCACACCAAAGTTCTCACTCTGTCCACATTTGCCTTTGTTCTTTGTAATTTGCACATCTTTTCGTCTTTCCTTGAACAGACACAAAAACACTCGATTTCTTCATAGCATGTTCTCCAAAATCCATTTTTAATATGGCTAACGTTTCACTAGTCACATTTAGTTCTACCAGTTGCACACAGTCTTCGATCTGAGCGGAGAGTATCAAGGTTCGCACTCTGCCCACATTTGCTTCTCTTCTTTGTAATTTTCACATCTTTTTGCCCTTTCTTGAACAGCCTGTATCACTCAAAAACACCTAATTTCTTCATAGCATGTTCACCAAAATCCATTTTTAATAGGTCTAACGTTTCACTAGCAATTTTACTAATCTTTTTTAAAAAAAAACTTGATGATAATCCGCTGTTCCATATTCTTTTCATTCATTTTTTGTCAACCATATAACATGAACACGTACAACTTCCTCTACTGCTCGGTAATGAATGACTCATCTGGTCTGCGTCACAAAAATGCATAAGTTGGAATATGTCCGGACGTGATCGAGTAGAAATATTTACTTGACACATTATTCCAGCAATACTCTTTGGTTATGCCAGGAATTAAATTGTGACAACTCTTATATTTTAATTTATATTTCCTTATAAATTCTAATGGACAATCAAAAGAGAATTTAAATAAATAACAGGAGTTGTATTTAAAGACAAACGCTATGATTGGGTCATCCACAAAGGGATAGTGCAATGTTTTATCTCGATCTCAAGTTTTTTATAACCAGCAACAAGTATGTAGGATATACTCATTAAAGCAGTCATCCACTTGACCATAGAGTAATAAAAAGATAAATAAATGAAAACTTTTGTGAACAAGTGACACCAAAACGGACATTTAGGATTTCCGATCACAGGTTTATATTAACAGTCCCAGTTGGGAATGAAATAGCCAGTTCTGGTCCGTCTGTTAACGGGGATAGAGCATCTCTCCGAGTAGTTCCGATGTCGCCCGTTACATTTGCCAGCCACGCGTCGTGATGTTGAGATGAGTAGAGAGTTGTTGGAGGGAAGAGTCGAAGGTAAGTGTTGATCTGCTAGACTCACATGAAAGAAGTTATACCAAGCGTCACCTATCTACCCATCAAGAAAGCGCAAGTAAATCCCCGAATAAATTATCAAGATATATTGAAAACAGTGTTCGGCACTAATTTTCACCTTTTTGTGAGCGTGAAACGGGCATTTCCCAGTTTTCGAAAACAGAGATGCAACGTGAGTGTTTATCTGTCCGGCCGGTGTAGAGCTGTGTGAGGGATCCGTTGCATGTTTGCAACCTGAAATATGCATTCTTTGCTTGACAAAAAGAAGCAAAAATCGCGTTTGTTCAATTTACGTGGTTGTATGTTGTTTTCGTATGATTGAAATTTAATAAAAAAAAAGTCAATATATATTTTCCAAACGAATCTGAACGTCACCAACAATTATTAATTTTCATTTTTTTAAAATAATCTTTGGTATAAAAAATTGTGTGAAATATTTTCAAAGACGTTCATTGACTATCATCCATTCCTGAATTAGTTGCTCGCTTTTTACCTTCATTCAGTCGAGCGCGTAGCATTTTTGTCACTTGCTTCTGGCTATGAAACACCTAATATATTTTCCACTGAAACCAGCTGACATTTTTTCGATCAATAGTTCAGTATAGAAGTCTCTCTTTTAAAAAAATTACTATCTTATCTTTCACAAAAACCACTTGAATCTAATCATCAGTTATTTACATTTTTCTTTGTGCAAAATTCTCGAAAATTTAGGATTTAATACGTTGACTGCCATCGGTCAATTACTAAATCAAACTTCAAACGTCAACATTAAAAATAGATAACTTAGGCAATAAAACTTTTTTCAAATGTTTTCGTTTATTTTCAATAAATTTTTTCCCATAATTTTTTTTTTTTACTTACCAATACGATTTCCCCTTCCCGCCTTAAATACCAGATACCAGTTACTTGCGTTAAAAACAGCGATAAAAGCTGGTGGTCGTAGCCTTGATGGCAAAACCCATAAAAAAACGAGAAAACTCGTGGTCAGTGTCATAGTAAAAATTTCAAGTCTTAAAAAATTATTTGAAAGCTTTTATTGCCTGTCATTTAAAAGTTTAACTATCTTTTTTTATTCAACTGCAGAGCCCCCAAGAAAAATTTTGCATGGCGGTACAAGACCCCTTTGGGGCATCGAGGCAAGCAAAAATTTCTCTCAAAATTGAGGATTTTATGTCAGGAAAATTTACACGTAAATTCTCATACATGCTTTATTTTCATGATCAGCTATAGCGTAATATAACAAACATTCATTTAGGGCGGAAGTATAAATCAGTATTTAGAGAAATGTTTTTTAAACGTTCATAATAAGATCGTGAATTCTCTAACAATTACATACATAAAGTCCTCGCGAAACAATCCATACAGGCACATGATGGCGCGAAAATTCTGGTGTACTCTAGTTTCATCATTACGCTAATTTTCGCATATATGCATCTAACCTGGGGTTGTAAGTAGGTGCTCTTGATGTTATCATATGTTTAAACAACTAGTCCTACAGTAATCAATAGTAAATGTCAATAAAAAGAAGTGGTTGTGATAAGTACAGTTGTTTGAGTATGTAAATTAAGTGTACGTCAGGCTGGTGTTAGTAGAAAAGTTGCATGGTTGCTGTGAGGCCCTTATTAGTTCTTCGGCCCCGAAACAGAGTACCGGTTGAAACCCTTTTCCATAGGCCCTGTTCAACCCATTAAAATAAATTTCAAATATTTAAAATATATTTTAAAATTTAAATATAATTTAAATATAAATTTTTCCCTTCAAAAATTGCTTTGTAATAATTCTATTTCTTTTTCCTTTTTTATTTTTTTTTCTCTTATTCTTTATATAACATTCATTGCGCACTCGACGACATTCTTCGTAACCTAGTTGGTTAAAAGCACGTCGGATCTAATGACATTCATTATAATCTTGAATTAACATGGATGGAATGTAAAAAAGAAGCCATGTCACTTATTTCTCCCAAATCTTTTTCTTTTAAAATGACTGAAATTTGTTATATGTCGACTAACAATAATGTTTGTTCTTTTCAGCTCAAACGCCCCTTACACCATCTCCAGCCACAAGTAAGTAGATAGATTTTTTTTCGGATTTAATTTTAAAATTCTCTAACCCTGGTTCTAACAATCATATATATTCGTAAGGAAGAGTACCTCGACCTGGTGTCATGGTTAACAAGCTTGTCTCGCTAGAACAATTACGACTGAGTAGTGAGTTCGATCCTCACTGGGTGCTCCTTATTTCGGCCTTGTGCCACATCTAAGCTACGCTTGGAATATCAATATATTCGTAGGAATGTCCGTTGTGGTGTAATAGATATCGTTTCGGAATGGAAAATCGGAGAACCGGGTTCGAATTTCAGTCGGGTTCGTTACATTCACTTACGCGCAAATGTCCCTGGAAAAGGTATAAATCCGTCACTTCTCCCCCTAGCTATGGGTTGAATAGCAGAATAGACTGGCTCCTATAGCCCTGACTGACAACGAGTCTACCGTAAAAAGAAATGGCAACCTACTGCGGAAAAATCTGTCTAGTCAGTCATAAATCGAAAGAGACATGATCACCCAAGCGTGTATCACTTAACTGACTGATATGTCGATTTCATGTATAGATTGACTATAGATTTACGGCCAAGAAATCATTATATTTATATATATTATATTCAATATATATTATATATATATATATATTATATTTTAAGAAATGGACAAAGTCCGACAATTTATTTATTAAAGACATGTTTATGTTTAACGTTCTTTTTATAGATACAAGTATTTAAGTAAATGCTCTGTTTATAATAAACAGTATTAAATAACATTTACCGGCCTGAATGTCCGAGAAATTTTCATAGAAAATATTCGTCCTTTGACAGGATTCGAACCTGCATCCTATACGGAACCGTCATTTACGCTGACGTGCATTGACCGCTCGGCCACAAAGGAGCGTTCGGTAGGCAAGGTTGAATTTACTGCTTATGAACTTCAATCTTCTATGAATCTCCTACATTCGTAACTGCTCATGGCCGAGCGGTCAAGGCACGTCAGCGTAAATGACGGTTCCGTATAGGATGCAGGTTCTATGAAAATTTCTCGGACATTCAGGCCGGTAAATGTTATTAAATACTGTTTATTATAAACAGAGCATTTACTTAAATACTTGTATCTATAAAAAGAACGTTAAACATAAAAATGTCTTTAATGAATATTATATATATATATTTTGTACGTAGGTTAGAAGCAATTGTTGAGTTTAAGCGAACGTGATTTAACACCACCAGACTTTTTTCTTGACTAAAAGATCCTGTTTACAGTCTCAATCCAAAGACAAAACTTCAATTAAAACAAGCAATTTCTTAAAAGTGTTTAGGAATTATAGAAGAAATGCATCAAATGCTTTGTAGAAGTCTTGCTGATAGGGTTCAGGGTTGTATTGAACATGAAGGGGAGCATGTATTGAACATGAAGGGGAGTATTTTAAACATATTAAATAGCTTGTTTATCATAACAAATCGTGTTGTATTTGATGTGACAATACTTATACATTTTTTTAAACTGTTGTAATTTATTATTCTTGAATAAAAGTTAATAAAAAAGGGCGATAATTTTGCCGCACCCTGTAGATTTTATTATAAACTCAACGTTTCGACCAAGTACCCTCTGTTCATCATCAGATACCCATTGGGATATCTGCTGATCATTGTGATATTTTGTCCCCGTGATATCGGTTATTCTTCGTTCCGCCCTACGTTGCTGAGGGTGGCGTTGTCGATACTAAGTGAAGTCCAATTAAACGAAATATTACCTAATTGTTTTTTGCCTGATTTTTCTTCTTAAAATTCCAACTCCTAATCTAGAATTAGAACGTCATTTTTGCTGAGATTTATCCCATAATAGATATTACATTTGCATACACTTCTTTTTTACACTAAATGTGTGTGTGTGCGTGTGTGTGCGTGTGCGTGTGTGTGCGTGTGTGTGCGCGCGCGTTAAAAATTGTAAAACCAATGTATGCATTTAAGAAAAATCACTAAAATCAACAAAAATAGGATCACACAGACATCAACTCACACGATCTCTCAATTCAAATTTCCCATTAGTATTTATTGACCAATCAGCGACGTTATCTCTAACCCAGTTCAATTTTTCAAAAAGCAGACGATCATTTCTTTGTTGTTTTCTATAAAAATTGAAAGCTCGCACCAGAAAATGATTAACAATATTTTCCCTCCTCAAAATAGAAATTAAAAATTGGGAAACATACTTGTTAACTAATAAAACTCCTGAGTTTAGTAAATCTAACTTCCTGTGATCTGATTTTTCTTATAAATTGAGTAATATTCTTTAAGTCTTCAGTATAAAATCGACTGGAGAATGCAAACGATACTGAATACTCACAATACGTACAATTTATTGCGTTTTAAGCTCCTAGTTGCAAATATTTTCACGCTTTTAATGTTTTTCATACATTATAAAAATATATGAGCGAGATATATAAATGAACGAATTCTATCAGTAGTAATACAGTGCTCATTCGGTTGACTGCTAGAATTACACAACTTTGCACGCATACATAAAACATCGAAAACACGAAATTTCCGCATAAAGCATTCACATACGTCCTTTCATTCTATACTAACGTAATTCATTTTTTGTGTTGTAAAAAAAAGCCGAAATATTTTTCGTTGAACTTTGCGAGGAACTTTGTAACTTGTTTCTTTCAACTTGACAGAAAACAAAGATTATTTTTATAAACAATAATAAAATTATCTAAATTTGTATGGCTGTGTTTGAAGATTATTTCTTTTCTTCGCTTTCCACACACTTCCCTCTCTCTCTCTCCTCTCTTTCCTCTCTCTCTTTATATATATATATATATATATATATATATATATATATATATATATATTATAATCATTTTTTAAAATATATGATTCCTTCGCTACATAAGAGTTCTCATGTTTAAAAACGAGAGCCGAAACCATCAATATAATTATTAAAATTAAATTGAATTAAAGTAACAAGCCCTGTTTCATCTTCAAGCGAAATGCTCGTTTTTGAAACATGGGAACTCTTATGTAGCGAAGGAATCATATTTAAAAAAAAATAATTATAATCTAAGCTTCTGTATGGAACACTGTTTTTGTTTTTTGTTTTAAATAAAAACAAAAATACTAAAGAACCCTGGATTATTTACCTAACGTGTTCTTTCCTATTTTTCTACATACCTGCACACACACACACCCGCGCGCGCACACACACACACACGCGCACACACGCACAATCTGCGTTTTATAATAAGTAAGATATCCGGTGTAGTAGTAAAATTGTCCAAATCGTGTAACAGCATAGAATAATTGTTCATCCCACAAAATGTTTACTATCTAAAAAACAAAAAAAAAAATACTAATTTAATTGAATTTCTTTTTTCCAGGTTTTCAGATAAGACGTTTAGCCATTTTGACACTATCTATCGTAAGAATCACGGAAAAACATTGCAAGTTATTCAGCTTGAAAGAGAATAGGTTAAAATCGTTTTTTTTTTGTCAGTGTCACTATGTCTTCTTAACTGAGCAGTAGTGAGAGGAGAAAAAGATCCTCCCGGCCTTCTGTAATGGCACCAATATTCATACTCTGGTTTCCATCTTCGAAGTTCATTCAAGAACAATCAAGAGATCGGTGAATAAATTTAAAAAAGGGGTAATAATAGAGGGGGAAACTGGATCAGGAGGTCACAACAGCAAGAGGGACCATCATTTTAACTTGAGCTAAATACATTCTTATTGTTCAAAGTAGAGTCCAATAGTTTTATAAAAACATCGGAGAATTCCAGTAAGATATCTTTAATCATTTCTAAGATACAATGGCTCAAAGCTTAAATTTTTGCTGTTACACCCGGTATATATATATATATATATATATATATATATGTGTGTGTGTGTGTGTGTGTGTGTGTGTGTGTGTGTGTGTGTGTGTGTGTGTGTGTGTGTGTGTGTGTGTGTGTAAATAAGGTGCCCACATATACATCCCAAAATATCTCCCACATAAAGGTAAGACTGTAGCTAGATGGGGATACTACTGGCACAATTGTCTTTCCATTGCCTGGGAAGTATTTCTGGCGCAACCAGTATATATATATATATATATATATATATATATATATATATATATATATATATATGTGTGTGTGTGTGTGTGTGTGTGTGTGTGTGTGTGTGTGTGGAAATATCCATAGACTTCTTAGCGTACAAGTGAACATTTTGTAAAAAAAAAAAAAAAAAGAAAAGTAAGCTTTTGAATGAAAGTGAATATAACGGTCAAGACCAGAATTCGAACTCGCTTCGTCGTTTTTCCTTTAACCGTTACACCAGTAACAGAGTCCGAAAGGATTTATTTAGTAGCTATTTTTGTTTAACTTTATTTTTCTTTTATTCTTGTTTTTCTTTTAGTTGCTTTAGCGACACCAAGGCCCGTAGTAGAGTTAATTTGACTGCAATTGCTGATGAAAGATTTGATTATTTTTACAAATAGAAATCGTGCATTGGGACTTCAAAGACGATATTCCAGCATCGTAGTAGGAATTTCCGCCATTTACAGTTTTGGTCATAGAACAGTAATAACGTAGAATTCTAGCGTTAGCGCTTACTGAGTATGAAGACAAATTTCTTGTTTGCATCAATGAAACTTTTTTCTTTTGCGTCTATTTTCAGCCACAACGACTTCTACGGTATCTGCACGTAAGTATCTTCTTCATCATGATGTCGATTTAGTTTTGCTAAAAAGATATAAGAGCATAAGATAATTTGCCGATACTAAATTTAGACGTATTGTGTTTCGGGAGGCTTGCTTGAGATTAGGAGAGTATGGTGTACAAAAAAAAAAAAAAAAAAAAAAAAAAAAGTGTTACGCGCTAAGTTTGTAACAAAGACGAGGCAGAAATTTTATTATCTGTCTATATCTCTGAGATGAGGTATTATGATTACTTGCATTATTTACATTATTCCAACTGATATTCTCATCTTCATTGCCATATTCACAACGTTTCAGTCGTTGTACGCTCCGGCTTTCTTCAGGTGATTGGAATTTCGAACCGAACCCTTTATTTACCCACCGGGGTAGATTGTTCTAGTTCCACGTGTCATGCCTCTTCAGTGTCATGTCAGTCATTTCCTAGTGGTCTAGTATTGAACTCACAACTTTTTGGGTTAGATCCAGTAACTAGACCCAAAGAGTTCTGGGTTCAATACCAGGCGACAGTGGTGAACCAAAACTTGGAGAGTTTGAGTTAAAGGGAAATAACTGAGACATCAGGAAATAACTAAGACAGAGAACAATCTACCCCGGTGGACGAAATAAAGGACTCGGTTCGAAATTCCAATCACCTGAAGAAGGCCGGAGCGTACAATGGCCGAAACGTTGTGAATATGGCAATGATGACGTGTATATCAGTCCGATTAATTTAAATAATGCAAGTAAAAATTTTATTCTATCGGAAACAGTCACCATTCGATAAAAGGTGAGTTCTGGATAATTCCTGAGGTAGTTAATAAAGGCTTTAAATTGCATTTCGTGTCGCCATTAGCTTCAACCCAAACGCCACTGCATATCAACGAAAGTCGTTTTCTCTTTCTTATTCATTTTATTATACGGGAGGGCCAGACGTGGCTGGATCGATTCGAGGAGACAGCGAGAAGGAGAACTGCCGCTCGTTGGCTTAACGCCCCTCCACGTATGATCTTAGCATGTCCCTCGAATCTGGGTATGGGGAGCGTATCGAGGCATCAAATTTCCTGCTGACCCCTGTTGACTTCGCGTCATTTTGAACTTATATGCCAAACACAGACAAAGGCAAACCGTCACTGTCACAATACCACGCCCATTGGGGTAATCCGGTCTAGCCCCTGCATTCTGCAATACTCAATGACAGGTTCCTCCACTTTCTCGCTAAAAAACAGCATAGCATGATGAAAAAGGGCCCCGAACTTGATAAAAACAGTTTTATCACCAAAATCTTTATGTTATTATTAACAGGAAAGACCAAAGCATTATTTTATTAAATTTTTTAATCATTTCTATCACGTTCGAAATTTTGTTTAAATATCTTGTTTTTTTTTTGTTTCGTCAGCGATGGCTCAAAGATATTTTTTCCCGGTGAAAAACACATTGATTCATAAATTATTGCAAAAATCAAATAATTGTTACATTTTAGTGAAACTTTTAGAACTTATTCACAAATGAATGAAATTACTTTTGAAATTTTTATTCTAGAAAATTTTGGTAAAAATATTTTTGTTTTTACATCTGGTACCCCGATTTACTTAACTTTGTGAAAACTTCAGCCTCTTCATGTTTATAGTATTTAAAAGCATGACTCCTTGAAGTATTTTAGCAATCATTTTGTTTTTGTAAATAACATATATTAAGGACACTATTGTTTTAAGAAAAACAATTTTTTCAATGAATAATGAAATTTTACAAGAATTGTTCTCATTTTTAAAAATGCTAATTAGAAAACATCATTAAGTTTTAAATTTTAAAATTCTGTATTAATTTTACCCATTTAAATTACTTATCGTAAATGATAAAGCTTAATACCAGTCATCGAAAATCAAAATTTTTAAAAGAATTTTGAACATTTTTTGTATGTATATAAACGTGCCGATTTTTGAAAGTATGGGTGACCATACACGGCATTATCAGAAAATAATAGTGATGACTAAAGTAAATTTAAAGTCAACATTTCTAAAATTAGATTATGGAGAATGTTTTCAAAATTTTAAAGATTACTGAGTATATATATATATATATATATATATATATATATATATATATATATATATATATATATATATATATATATATATATATATATATATAGATAGATAGAGAGAGAGAGAGAGAGAGAAAGTTGCAAATTAAAAAAATAATAATGTTTTTATGAAAGTATTTATTTATTTATATATATATTTGATATTTCAGATTGACCTCAATCTTTCTTCAGAAATAACTGTTTGTTACAAATAAATTAAAATTACTGTTTTTGTTTGTTTCTCATTATCTATATATATATATATATATATATATATATATATATATATATATATATATATATATAAACATTTTATTAAAAAGGCGCTCGCGTCATTTTCTTAAATTATGTTTTACAGATAAAGTATGTGTAGAACAACAATAAACCTGTCATCACCTTGTCATCAAACACGTAAACATGGCTACTGTCAGTTAAAAACACAGCTAATGTTTGGTTTTAAACTGTATTTCTGTGTTATTTTCAAATTAAAGTAATACATATTTGCTTCAAATCAGATTAATTATACATTCAAACAGCTAATATTGCTCAAATAAAGTTTCAGAAAGTATATTTTGCGCATTATGGGGAGTAACTGCTGCTAACGGGGTTTTTAAGCCATGTATGTCTGGCCAAAGAGGGATATAGCGGCTGTTACAAACAAACCCCTAAGAGGGGCTAGGTTCAGAGATGGTGACAGCGTCTGGCATTCAGTCGTTCGCTTACTCTTTTTAAAAATAAATAACAAAGTTCCTCGCAACGTTCAAGTTACAAATTTTCTCGCAAAGTTAAACGAAAGATATTTTTTTTTACGGCACAAATGAATGAATTGCGTCAGTATAGAGTGAAATGATGTATGTGAATGCTTTGTACGGAAATTTCGTGTTTTCGTTGTTTTAAGTATGCGTGCAAAGTTGCGTGATTCCAGCAGTCAGCGGAATGGGCGCTGTATTACTACTGCTAGAATTCGCTTCGTTTATATGTCTCGCTCATATATTTTTCGTATTGTATGAAATACATTAAAAGGATGAAAATGTTCGCAACTAGCGGCTTAAAACATAATAATTATACGGAAGTTTGAATATTCAGTATGGTTTGCATTCCCCAGTTGATTTTTTTTACTAAAGACTAAACAATATTTATTTACGTTACGCTAATTATAAGAAAAATCGGATCACAGGAAGTTAGATTTACTAAACTCAAAAGTTTTATTGGTTAATAAGTATGTTTCCCAATTTTAATTTCTATTTTGAGGAGGGAAAATATTGTTAATCATTTTCTGGTGCGAGCTTTCAATTTTTATAGCAAACTCCAGTCTTCGATTCATCTGTGAGGAGATTGTCCAGTATTCAATCCATATAGGAAGACTGATATTATGTTGCAGTACAGCGCGATTTCCGTTGTTTCTAGCGACATTTCCCTGTTTCATAATATTTCGACTGTCTATAAATCTGAATTATAAATGATATCTTTAAAAATATTTCAGTGGCAGCCCCAGCAAAAGACCCGAAAAGTTCATCAACATCGCGTAAGTTGATATTTACGCTTACGATTTGTATTTACACCTGCACATTATTATTATTATCATTTATATTTACACCTACGATTTGTTATTACTTATATTTACACCTGCAAATTGATCTTACCAGTATTCACACCTGCTGATTGTTCTTACCAGTATCTACTCCTGCACATAGTTATTACTTTATTTGCACCTGAATGTCATTATTACCTGTATTTACACCCGTCCATTGTTATTACCAGTATTTGCACCTGCACATTGCTATACCTGTATTTATACCCAGACATTTTTTATTACCTGTATTTACACCTACCCATTTTTATTACTTGTCTTTACACCTGCTCATTGTTATTACCTGTATTTACTCCTGTCCATTATTATTACCTGTATTTACACCTGTCCATTGTTATTACCTGTATTTACACTAGTCCATTGTTATTACCTGTATTTACACCTGCCCATTGTTATTACCTGTATTTACACCTGCTCATTGTTATTACCTGTATTTACACCTGTCCATTGTTATCAGTATTTACTCCTCCACATTGTTTTTACCTATATTTTCACCTGCTCATTGTTCTTACCTGTATTTACACTTGGACATTATTATTACCTGTATTTACACGTACACTTTGTTTATACCTATTTACATCTACGATTTGTTATTATTTATTTAGCAATATAAATAAAGTCTATAAAGCAAAATTCTTAGGGGTTAAACACTGGCTGTGGCAGACATATTCTTACTTTTTCAAATAGTTTTGTCTCATTGGTACTTATTGAGATTTGCTTGGAACAGCATAAAATCATGTGTGTCCAACAGCGAAGTGCTTCAAAATTTTGCCTCGGAATTGATATTTACGTTGATTACATTTAACTAACAATGGCGTCATTTTAAATTTGAAGAATGATTAGAGGAGAGAGAGAGAGAGAGAGAGATAGAGAGAGAGAGAGAGAGAGAAAAACCAGATGAAAAAAGAAAGAAAGGAAAAAAGAAAAACGTGTTAACAAGGAAAGAAAGAGTTAAAGTAAGAAAGAAAGTGTTAAAGAAAGAATGAAAAAAGAAAGAAAGAAAGAAAAAACGAAAGAAAGAAAAGAAAGAAAAAGAAAGAAAAAAGACAGAAAAAAGAAAAAAGAAAGAGAGAAAGAAGAAAGAAAGAAAGAAAGAAAGAAAGAAGGAAAGGAAAAAAGAAAAATGTGTTAACAAAGAAAGAAAGAGTTAAAGTAAGAAAGAAAGTGTTAAAGAAAGAAAGAAAAAAGAAAGAAAGAAAGAAAATGTGGAAGAAAGAAAAGAAAGAAAAAAGAAAGAAAGAAAGAAAGAAAGAAAGAAAGAAAGAAAGAAAAGGTTAAAGCAAAAACAAGAAAATGTCAAATATAAAAGAAAGGATAAAATGTGTTAAAAAGAAAAATGAATGAAAGGGAAAAGAATGAAAGAAAGAAAGTAAAAGTAGAAAGAAAGGATTAAAAACGAAAAGAAAACATGAGAAAAGAAAGAAAGAAAGAAAGAACAAAAGAAAGAAAGAGAGAACGAAAAGGTCTATGAAAATAAGGCAGATAAGAAAAGATGTCAGAAAAGAAATAAGGAAAATCAAAAATCGAAAGAAAAAATGAAATTATTAGGAAAAAAAAGAAAGAAAGAAAAACAGGAGAAAGAAAGGGTCAAAGAAAGAAAGAACGGACCAAAGAACCCTTTAAATTTATTTTACGTTTAATCAATCGTTTATTTAGTAAATATATTTAGTTGAATATGTTACGATTTTTCCGTAACTTTTAGCAAACATACGAAAGAAAAAATGAAATACGAATGACAGATTATTTTTAAGTTTTATAAAATCGTCATTAAACAATTTTATTTTTATTTCTTTTCTTTAGAGAGCAGCAAGTCTATGTTTATGGTGTTCGAAGATAAAAAAGACAAATCCTCAGCTGGAGACGGGCAAGGTACGAACGTGATTGGTCCGAAACCACCTGTATTTGTTGTTCCTGTGAACGAAGGAAGCCCCAAACACACAGCCACTAACGCTGGTTATGAAGCTGAAAACCACCCCCATCAGATCCTCCACTTCCCGCAGCCACCGACAAGACGAAGTTCAAAGGACGATCATCCTGCTCTTTCTTCTATCCAGCCGTACATTTCTCCAAATTATCCTGTACCTGAATCAGCCTCAAAAAAGAAAGTGCTCATCTCGCCTACTCAGCCAACACTACCAAAACACATCATCGGAGATCAACCAATCGGAAACGGCTCTCAAAAGCATTCTGTCGCCAGCCAATACTCTCCGCCGTCGTCATCGGTAGACATGCCCAGAAAACCAAGCATTTCGTCACCTGCTGACCAGAAGAAAGAATCGGTTGATAAGGTTCACGAAAATTCGCCGTCAGAACAACCAAACAAACACTTGGTGTTGAGTGACCCCCAGCTGACCATTTCAACGCCATTACCTCTAACAGGGAGCAAAACCTCGCCAACCAACGGAAACGAGCAAGTTATCCCCCTTATACCTCCACCAACAAGTAAACGTTCGTCAGAAGGCCGGAAAAAGTCAATCCCCAATAATTTTTCGTCGGGGCACCAGGCCCTAAAATCACCGCCTAGACCTGAAAACACAGTAAAGCCCACTTCAGGTGCATTGTCTCCGGGCAGCATGGGCACGAAAAAATTGATCAGTGGTCAGTCGCTAGAACATGGGGACCACGCACTGCAGGGGGGACACTCATCTCCACCGGCAGCGATCATCTTACCGCCGGTTAGTTCCGCCACCACGCGCAAAAAAGCAGCCAATGGCCAAAATTCTGAATATGTACCGTTGAAATCTCCACGCCAACCTAGCCCACCGATATCGGAGAATGTGTTTTTTGAAATCGACAATAAACCTCGGAGTTCCAGTTTCCTCGGAGACGCCATGTCTGATGCCCCAGCTGAAAAAGATCCCGGTGCACCGAGATAAGAGACCCAATTGTTTGCTATAGAGCTCTATTCCCCACGCTTTTACTTATGCTATCGTTTGATCTGAATTGTTTCTTGGGTGGGGAATGGTTAAGTCGATTTAGCGAATTAAAAAAAAATGCTATTGGATTATTAGAATAAAAATACCTTTTATAAAAAATTTAAAAAAATTAATAATTTAAAAAAAAGAAAGAAAAATATTTCGTAGAGTGTAAAAACGACCTGAGTGCAACAAAATAAGAATGAAGAAAAAAAATGATAAAATCATTAATAATAATGCTTCCCCTTTTGCTGTCGATAAAGAAAAACATAAAGAAGTGGAGAGAAAGCCTTGAAACCACACTATGCAGAAATGTTCCGCAAAATATATTTGTTGGAAACTAAATTTGGTTTCAGCTGACAAAATAAGTAGCAAATTGGATATTAAAAAATATAGCAATTTATTGCTTATTAAATAACTAAGCTACTCACACGTAATACAAATGACGTTTATGTTAAACTAATTTTGCAATTTTAACGGTCATATTTATTGTATGAGCAATCTAGGATGTTTATCAATTAACTCACAAGAAAGAAGTCTTTTAGTGGTGTTGAGTTGTGTCTCGTGTTGGCATAACATCAGAATCTGTTTTGTTTTCTTTCTTTCTCTTTTCGCAATTGCATTGGTTAAATTTTCTGTATGAGTAATTTACTATTTCTTAATCAATACAATTAACTAACGATTGTCGTATGTCAGAAAGAGTTCCTCTGCTCTTTTAATCATTAAAAGTAAACATGCCCAAAGGAAAACTAACACAATGCTTGACGTCACAAAGAGAACGGGTATATTTAAATAAATCTGCAATTTCACTGGGGCTATTTTCTGCATAAGTAATCCAAGTTTTTTTTTATCTATATAAATAACTATGGTGTAGGTAAAAAAGAATACTAGCTTTTAAATCATTATCACTATATATATATATATATATATATATATATATATCCAAAGTAAGCCGACATACATATATCGTCATAAAATGACAGCCATTTTTAATTAGTCCAGGTAAATTTGAATTTGCTTGGTTATAATTTCCCTCAAGAGTAATCTAGGAATTTTATGGATTAAGTTAAGTGTATGGTTACATATGATATAATGATTGTGATTTTTAAATCAATAAAAGTAAAACTATTGACAGAATGCTAACAGGAAACAAAATATTACCTACCCATTCTAACTACTTACTCATGAGATATGCTGTTGTAATGGTAGCGTGTGGCATATT